GGCAGAAGGGGCAGAGATGATCTCCCTTTTGGCACCGCCCTTCAAGTGAGGCCCAGCCTTCTCTACGGTGGTGAAGACACCAGTGGACTCTACCACATACTCAGCTCCGGCCTCAGCCTACTTGACGATAAGCTCCCATTCTCAGCCTTGATAGTGCCATTGAACTTGCCATGGGTGGAATCACACTGGAACATGTAGACCATGTAGTTCCAGTGTTGATGGCAAACATTTCCACTTTGCCAGAATCGAAAGGAGCCATTCCGACTTTCACCATCGTGTCTCGGGATGCGGCTGGGACTGCACGGGAACAGGAGAGGCGGCTGTCTGTCACACGAGGAGGAGCAGAGAGCCAATCTTTTTTTAAATCATGTTTTTGCAGGCTCTTACAGCTCTCATCACGATCCATACATCTATCTATTGTGTCAAGCACATTTATATATATAGATATAAACATATATACATACATACATATATATGTGTTGCCACCATCATTTCCAACATTTGCTTTCTACTTGAGCCCTTAGGATCTGCTCATTTCCCCCCTACGACACCCTTCTTTCCTACTGAACACTTGATAATTTAAAAAATTGTTTGTTTGTTTTTTCATGTCTTACACCGAATGCTGTCTCCAAGGGGGTGATCTTGATTTCTTGAAGGATAAAGGATGACCACAGGGACATTTTACAAAGAAGTTTTAAGAAAACTGAAATCAGCATTAGTAAAAAAACAAAAAGGCCAGGAACATTTTTCCCACCAGAGCAAGGGGCCTACCCACCTTTTAGGACAGCACGGGCTGTGCAAGGAGAAATTCATTGGGAAAATTTACACCACCCATCCGATAGCCCTGATCTTACTCCTGCAGACTCCTTCTTCTTTTTATACTTTTTAATTGGCAGTTAATACATAGATCATATCATTCCATAGTTCAAGCACATCAAGCAATATTGTACAATTGCTATCACAATCTGTTTCCATACTGTTCCTTGGCTCAGAAAAAAAAATTGAAAAGAAACATGATTTGAGTCTCTAAGTCAAAGAGCACAGAATTCTTAGAGAAGGGTTACAAAAATAGAAACACTGCCTTCGCAAGTGTATAAATATAGATGGAAGATGTGTTGAGAAACAATAGCTTCACATTTTGATATTTTTGTTGAATAATGGTTTCTATGATTTTGTAAGACCTAGTATTCAAAAACTAAAAGAGAACTTGCTTGGTATTTCTCAAACTGAAACAACTGGAAAGAAAAATTCAAGCCCCAAATGGAAATACTGAAGGATGCTATGGGGAAAAATATTGAGTAATGCAAAAGATGATGGAAAGAATACAGAGAGTAACTACAAAAAAATCAATGGTCAATGTTTGTTTTCAAGAGGCAGCATATGATCAAGCACCAATGGTATTAAAGGAAGAAGTTCAAGCTCTTCTGAAGGCATTAAAGAAAACCAGGCTTCAGAAATTGATGGAATACCAACTTAAATGTTTCAACAAGTTGATGCAGTGTTGGAAGCACTCAGGAGTCTATGGCAAGAAATTTGGAAGACAGCCAACAAATAGGAAAAGATTTAATGAGTGCCTATTCCAAAGAAAGGAGGTCTAACAGAATTATCCTGTTAATGCAGGATTATCAAGCAGAATGCAGAAACTACCTAGCAATAACAATAATATCACAAGCAAATAAAATTTTGCTTAAGATAATAAAAATATTGATTGTGGTAGTATATCAACAAGAAGCTAAGAGAAACCCACGCTGAATTCAAAGGAGGGGTGTTATTGCTGATGTCAGATGAATCTTGGCTGAAAGCAGAAAATATTATAAAGAAGCTTACTTGTGTTTTACTGGCTGTGCAAAAGCATTCAACTGTATACACAATAATAAACTATGAATACTATTGCAAAGAATGAGAATCCAGAACACTTAATTGTGCTCGCAGCGAACTTGTACACAGACCAAGAGGCAGTCATTCAAATATAAAAAGGGGGTACAGAGGGAACCCATCACAAGGTTGGATAAATAGCACCCCACCAGGGGGACAAATAATAGAAAGGTGGGTGAAGGGAGACAATGGACAATGTAAGACACAAAATAACAATAATAATATATAATATATAATTGATCAAGGATTCACGGGGATGGGAGGATGTAGAGGGAGGAGAAAAAGAAGAGCTAGTATGAAGGGCTCAAATAGAAAGAAATTGTTTTGGAAATGTTGATGGCAACATATGTACAAGTGTGTTTAATACTATTGAATGATGGATTGTCACATGATTTGTAAAAACCCCCAATAAAATGATTGATTTAAAACATCAGGAAAGATTTGTATCAGGGTTGTCTCACTTAGTCATACTTATTCAATTTGTATGGTGAGCAAATAATCTGAGACGCTGGACTATATGAGGCAGGGTGTGGCAACAGAATTGGAAGAAGGCTCATTAATAACCTGCCATGTGCAGATCGCCCAGTCCTGCTGCTAAAACTGAAGAGAATTTAAGGTACTTCCTGAGACAGCTCAAAGAACACAGTCTTCAGTATGCAGTACTACTCAATGTTAGAGAGAGAGAGAGAGAGAGAGAAGATACTCACAACTTGATCAATATACCACAGTATGATAAATGGAGAAAAGACTGGAGCTGTCGGTGACTTCTTAATTGGATCCACAATCAACATTCATATAAGCAGCAGACAAGCAATCATTGGTCAAATCTGCTGCACAAGACCTCTTTACAGCATTAAAGAACCAAGATATCACTTTGAGCACTAAAATGTGCCTGACACAAGCCCTGTTATTTTCAATGGCCTCATATTAATGGGAAAACTGGACAATAAATATGGAAGACCAAAGAAGAATTGAAGTATTTGAATTATGGTATTAGTAAAGAATATTAAGATTCCCATGGACTTTCTGAAGAATTAACAAATCAATCTAAGAGCAAGTACAGTCAGAGTGCTCCGTAGAAGCAAGAATGGAAAGACTTCATCCCACATACTTTGGACATGTTATTGGGAAAGACCAGTCTCGGGAAAAGGGCATCATGCTTGGTAAAGTAGAGAGTCAATGAAATAGAAGAGCCTTACTGAGATGCATTGGCACAGTGGCTACAATAGGCTTAAATCCTTATAACAATTGTGAGGATGGTGCAAGATTGAGTAGTGTTTTGTTCTATTGTAAATGGGGTCACTGGGTCGGAATTGACTCAGAGGGAACTAACAACAACAACAAATCATAGCAATACTTTTTTACTTGTCCTAGAATTAAATATACCTAAAATTAAAGAAAGTACTAAGTTTGTAATATCACTGGATACACCATAACCTAAGAATATACTAATTGCTAATTTAAAAATCCAGAAAAATATGTAACTGGTTATGAATTAATATACGTATGCTGCAGCAGTCATGTATTTTGTCATTTCATTTACAAAGTTTTATTTCCTTTATAAATGTTCAATATATTCATTTCTTCTTCACAAAGAATATGTAAGATGGTTCAAAAGTTCAATTGATTTTTAAAATTTCTTCATGGAATGTTTATTTTATGTTTTTATTTAAATAATTTTAAAATTACTTAAAATTTTTCGCAGAATCTAATTATCAGTCAGTTGATGGGTTATTAATCATATAAAATTTATTTTTAAAAATCTTTGAAATACACATGTCCCCAGTGAAGTTAAGGTACATTTGCTCTTGTTTGACACTGCATCCTGGCCTCAGAGAAATACTGAGGTGTAATCCAGTAAATTCATTTTCTTTCTCTTTCACTTTAGTCTTTGTTATTTTCACCGTATCTAAATCTATTTTATTATAAAGTAACTACAGGTGGTAGAGCTTAAGTACTGCAACTATTTTCATTTGAACCTTTTCCTTAGTATTTAAAATGTGGGGGTTTTTTTCTTCCACCAGATGAAAATAATAACACTCTCTAAATTGAGTTGTAACTTTCCTTTTATATTGCATGTGTTAGCAATGCTAAGCTTGCCCAGAATTCACTCATGAATCCGACGGCTACAATGAACTAGAATATCTCTTTGTCTTTCCCAGTCCAGTTGAAATCACCTGTTGGACTCTTGTTAAGAAGCTCTTTCAAAGTGTTCGCTAACAAATGGGAATCTCTTCCAGATTCTTCCTTTGACAAAATCACACTGACTGGTCTGTGGGCTGTTCCATTTTCCCCAGTAACGGTGTTACCGGTTTGCTGCCAGTCGAATGTAACCACTGACGAGGCTGAATAAATATTCCCTAAATGGTCCATTATGGGAAGCAAATATAATTCTGGTTGAAGAGCCTAAAACATAGAGAAAATTTTGAAATCTCTTTTGTAAGTTGTGAAAATTTAAATTAAAATAATTAGCATACGTTAAAAATGACACATTACATACATAGGGAGGAGCAAATGATTTGAGTTTCAGTTCTGATTCTTGCTTTGCTTTCACCTAAAAATAAATGAGAGAGAAAAAAAAGCTATTGCAACATTTTGAGTATAACCTTTTCTTGTGAACTAGCTCAAGGTTTATAGAACAGGTAGAGCATCGCTTTTACATTCAACAATCCATACACATTTTGTTCCACCTCATAGACTGCAACTCCCTCAATGTAACATCATTTATCTTACTTCCTCCCTATATTTCCTGTTTCCATTCCTCCATCTTTCCTAATCCTTCTGAACTTCATCCTATGGGAAATGCTTGATTAATCTAAGTCCCCTTAGATCCTTGATTATTATTTGACTGGAAATTGGGCCACGAGGGTGAATGCAGTTGCAAAACTGAAGGGTGACTAAGGGCCACACGTAGTCACTTTCCAGATCTGAAGGGTGAGTAAAGGTAACTGAGAGTTCCACCAGTCTATCTGACCAGTAATTCTAGGTTTCTTTGAAAAATGATTTTGAGTTTTATTTCACATTTCTCTTTCACTCCATCCGGAATGGGATCCCTTTCAGAGCAATTGATAGTGGTAGCTAGGCACCATCTAGTTCTTCTGGTCTCACGACCTTGGAAACTGAGGTTTGCATGGATATATGTAATTTACAGAAGCTAGATACAAAGGGGCTTCAAAAAGGTCATGTAAAAATTCTATTATCTTTTAATCCCATTTTGCCATGAACTTTTTGGAACTTTCTTGTATTTCAGTTATATATGTCATGATTAAAAGCTACTAATTAGGATTAAATTCTTGAAAAGAATTACAATGTAATCTTATTTCTATTCACTCTATCAAATATAAATTTATTTTTAATAAAAATAATTATGGTGGCCATTTATATGGATTCACCATGTGCCAGGCACTATTGTAAATATTTTACATATTTTAGTTCATTTACTCCTCACAACGCCATGTATATATCGTTGTTAGTACTGTTGAGTGGGCTCTGCTTCATAGC